TTCTTCATCTCCTTTGGTTGTTGCCCATCTCCAAATTTTGAAAATTTGTCTTCTTGACCTTCATCCACTTTCTTTGCTACATCTTTCATTTTCCTGATGAAAATGAAATTAAATAATAATTCTTTTTATGTGCAGTTTTATAGTGAAGCTGCTTGTATATAGTAATACAATTTATATTTACACCAGATTCCCTACATTTTCTGTGTTGTTATTCCACAGGATGTGCATAATTTCATCTATTTAAATAGAGGGAACCAGCCCTTGGGAGAAGAAAAAGATTTTTATCAAGTAGTGGGCTACTTTGCATCTTAAAACACAAACGCGCACATACACACACACATATAATCACTCCTTCTTAACTGTGCTAGATGTATGCTCACACCTGATCTTACATGGGGGTGTGACAGAAGGAATGTACAGGAGGGTCTGGTGGTGCTCAGAGGAGGAAAGTCCAATCAAAATGACTGGTATTCAGGGCTTTAAAAATGTGAAACTAGCTCTGTTTACAAGAACTAATAAATAATATTCTTCAAGTTATAGGGTTTTTTGCTATTCAAAATGTCTTCCTCTCCCCCCAAACCCATATAAGATACATGGAAAGGATATGAAAGTGATCCAAAAATAATAGTTAAAAACAACATCAGTTATTATTCTTTACAGGTCGTGGACAGAGGTTTACATTACAGGGTCCCAAATCAAATGGGCCTCCAGATCAAAGACCAAGAAACCTTTCAACTGAAGTAGCCCACAACTGTATATAACATTTGCAGCCCACAGGTCACTGGAAACCCAGTAAAACATAAGGAAGTATCCTTTTCAGGTTTACAAATTTTGGGGGGTAACTTTTCATTTCAAACTTACAAAAAAGTTTCAAGCAAAGTTGCTTTACCAGTTACTATCTCTATGTGTGTGTGTATATTATTTTTATGAACTGTTTAAGGACTGAATTCTGAACTGAAAAAAATTATACAATGAATGTCACTGGTAGAAGGACACATCAAAAGGTAAACTGCTTGTGATTATGGATGACTTTGTTTATCACTTATTGTGTTTTTTAGTTTCCTATTACACATACATGTTAACTTAAGAAAGAACTGTCATTTTAAAAACCTTTAAAAAGAAGACTGTCACTGGGACAAATGGCAAATTGAATTGTATGTTGACCCTGGATTAGAAAATAAAATAATAAATTTCCTGATTTTAGTTATGAATACCCTGGTTACATCAGAGAATGCTTTTCTTCTTAGGAAGTATACAGGGAAGTATTTAGGAGGAAAGGGTCATGATGTATGCAACTTATTCATAAACAGGTTTACAAATTTTAAAGTTATAAAGGGCTTTTGAAATAAAGAAAGGGACTGACACCAGTGAATGCCAACAGAAACAGTCTTGTGTGATTACTCAGGTGCTACTGCTGAGTACTAGGCCCTTGACGTGAGTACAGATCTCTTTATGCATCTTCACAGCGCACCTCAAGAGCACATGACACATGGAGACTAAAGAGGAACATACACTCATCTACACTAGCGTCCTGTCTGCTTGAAATGTTCACCACGTTTGTTTAGAAGACAACGAGTCATTTCTGATTCATACTGAAGAAAGAGTCGGTTATTCTTTGAGAATTTATATACATCTAACTTAAAGTATGACTTTCAGAATCTGGGTCCCAACCAAGATTTACTGTATAGAGAGGATGATTCTGTGCCAACCTTTGTTCCATCTCTTTTTGTAGTCTTTCTTCTTTTTCTTTTTGCTCACGAGCAAGGCGTCGTTTTTCTGCCAAAATCTTTGTTGCCTCCTCAGCATTCTTAGGTCCTGGTGTGCCTTTATTACCAGATTCTAGTTTAAATTAACATGCAAAACAGTTAAGTTTAGGGAACTTACTGCCTCTATGTCCAACAAAGAGGTGCAAGACAATGTGCAATGTAAAAAATAAAAAACAACATTATGTCCATGATAGAAAACATATAAATAAACTATAAGTAATATAAGTAACAGCTTTTGTTCAAAAGCCCAATTCCTATGCCCTCATGGCCACCCCAAGCCACCAACAACAGAAGCACCATTTTGTTAACTTTTGAACAACTACTTGTCCCCAAAAGAAATAATGTGTTCTTGCTTTGGTTTAGCTGTTTTGAGATACCTGAATAAATTGCCTCTATCGAAAAAAAGATTAAGATATACTGAATATGGAGGAAGATAAGCTTATACTCAGTCCAAATGAGGTATAAATCTTTTCTCTTCTTTTTTGGCCATGGTGCACAGCTTGGGGGATCTTAGTTCCCCAACCAGGGAATGAACCCAGCAGTGAAAGCGCCGAGTCTTTAACCACTGGACTGCCAGGGAATTCCCTGAAGTGTACAAATCTCAAGTCAATTAAACAAAAATATATACAGCATACATTCTGAAAATTCTGCATCATTTTTATTAAATAAATATTATTTCACTGAGTGTTGATAACAGTATGTTAATATATTTTGTTGATTATAAAGTGGCTAACTGTGGATAACCAAAGAAACCAAGACTATCAGTAAAATAAGGTGACCACATGGAGGCATAGTATTTTAGTTCATGTGGCAAATTTGTTTTTTTTTTTTTTTTTGCAAATTTGTTTTAAATAAACTACATATGAAAATGAGGATTTTAAGAAATCAGGAATATATAATTCATAATAAAAAGACTGTTTCTGTTACAAAGAATTCACTGTGGAATTCCTTCAAAAAGCAAAATTCATGAGTGTATTTAAAATTAAATAATGCAGGTGGATCATAGAAAAAGCAAGGGAATTCCAGAAAAACACCTACTTCTGCTTCATTGATCATGCTAAAGCCTTTGACTGTCTGGATCACAACAAACTGTGGAAAATTCTTGTAAATCAATTATATTTCAATTTTTAAAAACCCAGAAACAGACTCTCAGACACAGAAAATAAACTTATGGTTACCAAAAGGGAAGGCAGGGGGGAAGGGATAAATTAGGAGTTTGGGATTAGCATTAATCCCAAATTAATTTATACTATATACTATATACAAAATATTACTATATACAAAATAAACAGTAAGGTCCTACTTCACTGTTTGCTTTCACTGCTGGGTTCACTCCCTGGTTGGGGAACTAAGATCCCCCAAGCTGTGCAGCATGGCCAAAAAAGAAAAATAAAAGATTTATACCTCATTTGGATTGAGCATAAGCACAGGGAATTATATTTAGTTTCTTATGATAACCTATAATGGAAAAGAACATGAAAAAGAATATCTATATATGTGTATCTGAATCACTTTGCTGTTCACCATAAAGTAACACAAAATTTTAAATCAACTATACTTCAAAAAAAGAATGCATGTCATAGTCAAAAAACCAGTATGATGTTTTTTGGAACCCACGCACTGACCTGACACATGTTACATCCTATGTATGGAAACTACCCTCCAGCTCCTGATGGAAACCTGCTCAGCCACAAATGACTGCATGTGCTCTCTTCCAAGGATGGAAAATATTAAAGGGCCATCCACTATCAGAGCTGGAAGGAACTGCAGGGACCATCTACACCATGGCATTCATCCAACTCATCTGTACACACTAAACATCAGTTCCAAAAATAGGGCTAAGTAAGAAGTTGCGGCAAGAAAAAACAAGCATTGTGCCAGTGTGACTGGTGCAATGCTCTTTATTTTAAAGAAAATTTGCTTCCTATAGTTCTCTGAACTGGGGAATAAAATGACAATGACAGTGCCCAAACTACCTTGAGATTTTCTGGTTGCTGAAATGAACTTGTCAGTGAAGGAACTCACCTTCACAGATCATATCCTTTTGGCTTGCAGTCTCAGAGTTGTTAATGGTGTTAGAACCGGCTTTGCTTTTCATTCCCATAGTACCTAATGCATTTTGTGCAAGTACAGTACGCTGCATAGGAGTTACTTTATAGGAAAAACAAAACTGTGTCGATTGTTTTGACATGCCAGGTGAAGGTGATAGGGGGCAATTCTTTTGAATTTGCCTGCTGGGAAAAAGTAACAGTTAATGGAAGAAGTGTGGTATGATTTTATAATATATATGTGCTGATTTTTACTGTACCATTTCACACACTATAATGTCTTGACATTATATGATATGATATTTTATAATAGAGAAAGGTAAATCCATTTTTAAAGGCTTTTCCCTTTATATTTTCATTACCATGCATACTACATTATTTATGAAACACTGATGCGAGGTTTACCCTGGTAAAACATGTATCAGGAACAGCTGCAAATAAGCTACTTACCTAGTACTGATGGGAGATGGTGGACGCCACCTTCTTGTAGGAGATGACGACCATCTATAACACGGTATCTGCGATGGTGGTATGCGCTTCTTGGTAATAGGATTTGAGGGCTGTTCATCCATTTCTGATTTCTGAACAAATCAATACAATCATACAAAAAAATTTCTAGTATTACCTTTTGTGGCTGCCTTTTCAAAAGAAAAAATTCTGAACAAAATGCTCCTAAAATCCCAATTTTCTTTTCATGCATGAGGCTTAGGTACAGACATTCATTCTTCCAGACTAACATTTTATATTATACAATTCAAACAGGTCATAGAAATAATTTAAAAGAATTCTTTTACTTCAAAACTTAATTTTATTTTTAAATCCTAATTGAGCTCTGCGATAGTTCTCAAAAACATTCCTTCAGAGTTTAGAAACATAATTCATAAAAACCGCTATATTTTGTCCCTTCTATTAAAAACTATCTATTATTCCAGCTTTGGGGAGAAACTCTGGGACAATGAGCAGCAGATAATTCTAAATCATTAAAGTGAATATATTTTATCATAGAATGCTATATGTTGTGAAATCTGACCCATCATCATCTATACAACAAAAAATACAGATTTTAATAGAAAATCTGTCAATGAAAGGCACTTGTCAAACCTATGGAGAATCTTTCACTTTACCTTGGAAGATATTTCCACGGTCACCTCAGGGGAGGTCTCCAGGGGCGCCTCTACACTTGCCTCAGAAGGCCCTTTCGTGCTTTCCTTGGGGAGCACCTCCACACTCTCCTCTGGGAGTGCAGCCACGCTTATCTCTGAGAATGCTTCTACACTCTCCTCGGGGAGTGTTTCCATGCTCGCCTCGGGAGATATGTCCACACTAGCTTCAGATGATGCTTCCGTGCTCATCTCCTGGGATGAGTCTATACTCACCTCCGGAGATGGGTTCACACTCACATCTGGGGATGAGTCCACGAGTGCTTCCACGTTCACCTCAGAGTGTTCTTTCATGCTCACCTCCAGGAGTGTTTCCACACTCACCTTGGGGTGTTCTTTCATGCTCTC